CTAGAAAATGTTGATGAAAAAAATTCATACCAAATAATTATTTTTCAGTGCAAAAAAATGCATTTGAAAAGTTTACTAATATTTTTCAGTGTTCAACACTGGAAAAAATGGTTAATGGCAAACCAATAATATGTTTTAAGTTGCCATTATCATTTATTTTCAACCATTCAACGCTGGAAAATAACTGATATTTTTGAGGGATAACTATTATTTTCCAATTTTAAGCATTGGAAAATAGTTGATACTTTTGAGGGATAGAGAGCACTAAAAAATAATATCCAAAACATTAAAAAAATTTATTTTTATGTTATTATAATTATATCCAATTAGTAAATATTTAAAAATATAAAATAGTATTTAATATAAATAAATTTAACCATAAAATAATATTATATATATTAATCAAGATTATAAAGAAAAAGATTATATATATAAAAATCTAAAATACACATTAAATAAACATACAACACATATAATAATTAAAATTAAAGAAATTAAATACATAAAATGTTAATAATAAAAAATCACTTTATAATATATTAAAATTAATTATACATAAACAATTGTATTTAATATATTTACTTTATAAACACAATCATTGCATAAAAAATTACAAAATACATATAATTTAATAAATATTATCAAATAAATGAAATTAAATACATAAATGTACCTCAATTCCATGTAGTTTATAAAAATATCTGAAATATATTAAAAAAAAGGAATTAGTAATATATATGAGAGTTTCTTGATAAAGAAAAATATAAAGAAAATTGAAAATTAAACTACCAATAAATTGAAATGAATAGTACCTCTTATTTCAAGTAACATATTAAAGGAAAAGGAAGAGGAAAAGGAAGAGGGATGGAGAGAACAAGAGAATAGCAAGAAGGAAAGTAGAAGAAATGAAGATGAAATGGAAAGGGAAGAGGAAACAGAAAGAAGAGGAAAGAGAAGATTAAGATGAGAGAGTGAAATATATGAGAGGAGTAAAGGAAGAGAGGAGAAAAAAGAAAGTGAATTTGGATAAGGGATGAGAAAAATGAAAGAGAAGAAAGAAGAAGATGGGAGAAAATGCTGAGAAAAGGAAGGTTGGAGGTTTATATAGATAAATATTATTTTCCACAGCTTAACACTGGAAAATAATGTGGGCTTGATTTTGAAAATTGAAAAAAAAAAAAAAAAAAAATAGCACTTGAATGTTGGATTTCAAACTTCAGATAAAATTATAGTGTTGGAAAATAATATGAGCGGGATTTTGAATTTTGAAAAGAAAAAAATACTTGAATATTTGGTTTCTAAACTTCTTAATTAACTTATTTTCCAATGCCAGGCATTAAATAACTTGAACCAATTGATCACGAGTATTTTCCAGTGTCCAGCACTAAAAAATAACCTAAACTAATTGACACGAGTATTTTCCAACGCCAAACGTTAGAAAATAACCTTTGTAACTTGGGTAAGATTATTTTCTAGTGTTAAGCACTTTAGCACTAGAAAATAACCTATACCCCATTTCTAACATTTAACTTTGACAGTTTTAAACATTTTCTAGCGTTTTGCGTTTAAAAAAAGTGAAAATGATTGTTTTTTTGTCAACAGCAACATAAAAAACATTATTTTCCAGCGCAGAATGTGCTAAACCAAATTATAGCGCTAAATAATTTTTCAATGCTTGGCACTAGAAAATGAATGTTACTTGAAAATTATTTATAAATTTTAGATATTTTAAACCAAACTTTAATTTCTAGTGCTTAGCATTGGAAAATAGTTGGCCGAAAAAAGTCAAATTTCTAAAAGTATTCTTAACATTTTCGAAATTTCTTTAATGGTAAATGGCAAATTTAGTGTTCCTACTTTTATAATATGAGCACTTTGATCCTATAACTTTGGATCATTCATTTATATCCCGAAAAGGATCTTTCTTCTCACAATTCAATCCCTCAATTTTCAAAAAATATTTATTAATCCCAAACTCCTAGTATTATGCATTAAATCCTTTTTGTACAAAAATAAAAATAAAAATTATGTAAAATCAATTGAAAATCATATCTTATATATTCAAGTTGCAACAAAAAAAAAATGCTAAAAAAATAAATTAAAACATATAAAATGCATCTCATAAGGCATAACCACACCCATAGAATCACATATGCTCTAAAATCATCTATTTTTTTTATCTAATTTTATTTTATATATATATCGAGAGAGGAACAAAAGTAACAATTAAATATTTTATTAGTACAAATATTAGGATAACTAATTATAGTCACAAGATAGATAAAGTTCTAAGTAGTACATATATTGTCCAACTCATCTTGTCATTGTAATTTTTTTTTTTTTTTAAGTTTGTGGGCAATTTGGTTGGCATGGTTCGCTTCGTGAGGAGGTTGTCAAGGGAGATCTAGAAATGGCATTTCTTTGTAAGAGAATTGTAAGTTTAGGGGGCATTTTGGTTAGCATGAGGTGTATTTTTTTTTTAGTTTGGAGAGCATTTTGGTCGGTAGATATTGTAATTAGTTCTTAACAACTAGAAAAATAAGAAATATAGAGTCAAAGCATAATAAGCTTCAATATGTCTGTAAAAAAGATATCACATTAACAAATTGAAACTACTAAATAGTGTAAACAATTAAGGGGACATTTTTATATTTATTTTATCAAAAAAGGTTTTATAAATTGTCTTTTTAAATATTTTTAGAGGAACTATTTAAAAATTTATTTTTTAATTAATATTTATAAAAGTTAAACATTTGAATTAAAAATTTTGTTTATATAAATTATACATAATTATTTTTAAATTATTTTAAAAACTTAATTAGTTCATTGATTATAAAAATTTAACATTTTTAACATGTTAGTTGAATTTCATTGAT